GAGAATGAGAGGGTAGAGTTAGTTAACCGTCCACCTACACGAAGGAGTCCGTGGTGATCTAGCATTGGTTGAAGAGGTGTAAGTGAGCTCTTAGCGGGTATACTTTGGTTCCTGGAGAGCGCTTGAATCTCCAGCGGAAAGACATCGGCTTGAATTTGCTTGAGCCAGAATGTTCTAGCGCGACAACATTCATCAGGGGTCAAAGCAGAGCGCGGAAATCCTTCGGAAGGATGTGTCTTATTAACCTGGTGACATAGGTCCGTGAACTTAAAAAGGTATGCGGTCACCCGGAGGAGCTTGGGCCATGATGAATATCGCGAGGCCAGATCCCATGGTTCCGAGGATGGAGAGCATTGCAACGAGACAGTCCTTTGTTCAAGCGACATGTCACTTGACGTGAGAGACTTTTGAATCGGCCAAGAGGCTTGAGATTTCATGAGCCACGACGGGCCTTTCCACCACAGCGTCATGTTGATGATCTCGTCGCCGGAGCAACCACGCGACGCGCAATCGGCGGGATTGTCGTTGGAGGATACGTGCATCCATTTAGCGTCCGGAATGCGCGATTGAATCTCGTGAACGCGATTCGCGACGAACTGTTTCCAACGTGAGGGATGTTGTTGGATCCATGCGAGAACTACAGTGGAATCCGTCCAGCAGTAGCAAGGAAATGAAGCAAGATCGAGTGATTCTCGCACGAATTCGAGCAACCGTACGAGAAGGAGAGCGGCGTTCAATTCTAAGCGTGGTATATTAAGCGCGGTTAACGGAGCGACCTTAGATTTGCCCGTTAAAAGAGTTATGATGGATTGCTTCGAGTTAGTGACTTTGAGGTACACGACCGAGGCGTACGCGGAAGCGGAGGCATCCGCGAATCCGTGTAACTCTATTTGAGTTGCGTCATTCGTGAATCCGGTCCAGCGTTTAATGGTGAGTCCACTTAGAACTGGCAACTTCGCATAGAATTTTCGCCATTTTTCGAACATGCTCTCCGGAAGCGTGTCGTCCCATCCGACCTTTAACCGCCACAATTCTTGCATAAATATTTTCGCAGTAATGGTTACCGGAGTGACTAATCCTAAGGGATCGTAGAGCTTCGCGATGGTAGACAAAATGGAACGTTTAGTACTTGGAATATCCGTCGAGGTATGAACTTGAAATTCCAACGTATTCGACGCTGGAGTCCACGTGACACCGAGAATGTTAACGCGGTCATCAGTTGAAAGAATTCGACTACATGCTAACCCGTGATCAGTTGGATCGATGTCGGCTAACAAAGCGGATGAATTACTTGACCATTTCCGTAATTGAAATCCTCCGCGACGAAGAAGAGCAACCAGTTGATCACGAGTTTGTGTTAGACTGTTGGCATCATCTGCTCCGAAAAGCAGGTCATCGACGTAGATATTGTTGCGAAGAATCGGAATCGCGAGAGGAAAATCTGCGCCTTCGTCATCGACGAGCTGTTTTAAAACGCGAAGCGCTAGAAACGGCGCGCAGGCCATGCCATACGTTACAGTGAACAAGTGATATTCGCAGATCGGTGCTGACGGAGACGCTCTCCAAACAATGGTTTGATAGTTTATGTCGCGAGGGTCGATTTGAATTTGTCGATACATCTTGGCGATATCTGCGGAATACACGAATTTGTAATTGCGCCACTTCGAAATGACAGAAGAAAGGTTGGTTTGTAACTTTGAGCCGACCAGGAGATGGTCGTTTAAGGACGAGCCGTTTGAGCTTCTGTTAGACGCGTTGAAAACAACGCGCAAATGCGATGTAAGGCTGTGATCACGAATTACAGCATGATGTGGAATGAACACGCGTTGGTTAGAGGAAGACGGAGGAAGTGACGACTCGCGGATGTGCCCGAGGCGAATGTATTCAGCGATAAATTCGCTGTATTCTGACGCGAGTTCGGAATTTTTGATGAATTTTCGAGTCATCGCGGCGAGACTTCTTTCCGCCGAGAGACGAGTATCTCCGATGTTTATAGGGGGACCCGTTTTGAAAGGAAGTCGTACGATATATCGCCCGCAAGGATCGCGAGAGTGAGTGCTTCGGAAATGCTCTTCGCATTTTTGGTCTTGCGGAGAGAGGAAGTCTTTGCGAGGAAGGTCTTCCGTTTCCCAGAAGCGACGAATCTCCTCATCGAGAGCCAAAGAATTTAGTACGTGATGAGTAGAGACGCTTGGTGGTGCGTGCCTAGAGGCACTCTTATCGGACGAAGCGTGAATGTTAGTTACGCGCGAGCTGACTGGTCCTGAGATTATCCAACCGAATATCGAATTTTGAGCGAAAGGTTTGCCGGCTTCTCCCTTTCGAACCCCGTCGAGAATTATATTATGATACAAATCCGCGCCTATGAGAATATGAATCGGTTCTTGACTAAGGGGAGTCGGGTCCGACCATTTTAAATTAGTAAGATGAGAAAGAGAGGAAGCACTGGTAGATTGACTCGGAGTGTAGGACGTGATGGAATTCAAAATTAACGCGGTGACGGGAAATGACGGAACGACCGAGTCTCGCGGAGATACGGAGATGTTAGCGGCGCGTTTTATTATTCCGGCGTGATTGCCTCCGACAACGGACACCGAGATTGGCATGTGAATTCGTTTGACACGAAGAATTTGCGCGAGCGTTTCAGATATGAAGGTCATTTCTGACCCTTGATCGATTAGTGCGCGAACAACAACGGAGCGTCCAGACGAAGAGCTGACGGTTATTAAGGCGGTCGCTAAAAGGACGCGAGATTGAGCCGGCGTTCTTGTCGAAGCGAACAACGAATTAATTTCTGGTTTCGAATCGACGATCTGAGGATGAGAACGGTTTGATGCGCGGGTCGCAGAATCGGAGAAAGAGTCCGAGCTGATGTGAAGAGTGGAATGATGCTTTCCTTGGCACAACCGACAAGAATATCGACTTGGACATTCCTTTGCGGAATGCTTGTGACTCAAGCAGTTGAAACAGCAGTTATGCTGCTTGACAAGATCGCGACGCGCGCTTGGACTCTTACTCAGATAAATTGAACAAACATTAATGAAATGCGGCGATTTACAGAGTGGACACGTTGACGACTCGTTCGGAGCGGTGGTTGCGACATGAACCTTTGACGTTGGGAACGCCTTGGTTGGTACCTTTGACGGCCCAGTTGGGATATTTGCTTCGAGAGCGCGAACGCGTGAGTGCAAGAAACGACTGAGCTCGTCGAATGAGGGAGGCGATTCAGCATCGCTTGAGCGAATGTTCCAAGCCTTTCGCGTTATCGAATCGAGCTTCGAAACAACCGAATGCACTAGTACATCGTTCCATAATTGTTCGGGAGAACGATTCAAGCTTGTGAGAGAAGCTACCGCGATGTTGACCTTGTCTAGTAATGTCTGCAGCTCAACAGAACTTTCGCGAGTTACTGTATTGAGAGTTAGTATTATTGACAAATGAGAATTGAGCGAGCGCTGACGATCCTCGAACCGAGAGGTTAAAGCTTGCCACGCGATTTCAAAATTGTCTGCTGTGACTGGAAGATTAGCAACGCACTCGAGGGCGCGACCTCTTAAACATGACACAAGATAATACATTCGCGCGAAATCAGTAAGATCTTTGTTATTGCGAATAAA